AATTTGATATAGATGATTTCTAGATAGAATAAGAAAGAGCATTTTCTTCACTTTAAAATCTGGGCTAATTCTGAAGCTGCATGAACAAATTTATGCTAAATCTGGGAATTTTTCTGCACCATTTATAGCAGTAAACTTGCCCCTCCAAATCTGCAGTGAAGGAGTTTCCCAGCTCCCTGCAGCACAGTTGGAGTGGGATTACTGAGGGCAATTGGATTTATCAGGGATATTGATTCTGCTGCTAGCAGGATACCATTACAACCAAATTTCAGTAGTATAAACCTTTGGTTAATGGACTAATTCAGGGAGAGGTGCCTGTTTCTTCTGACTATCCATTAAATCCAAAGGTATGTTATTCACGGTGTTTTAAGTTATTGGTGTAATGACATCATTATATAAATTATGTAAATATATATTTGCATAATGATATAATTACAAAATATGTTAATTGATACAAGTGATGTAACTATTACTTGAATGTAAATCGAACTGCCTCATCTTGACTACTTTTGATGCCTCTGACTTCTCCATTATTTTAGAGTGATAGCTGGGTGGAAATTTTATCCATTGCATCTGAAGTCTATTAAATGAGGTTTATTAAACTGAGATTTTACTGTCTGTAAATAGGTTGGGGGATACTTCATTTATTTTCTTTTTTAAAAATCTTCCTGCCTGAAGCAGTACATTGGATTTATATTTATGGCAAAATATTAATTCTTCTCCAGTGAATGAATCTACATGCTTCTTGGAACAAGTTGGGATAGGTTGTAAGAATCTGTTTAAACAACTTTTTAATATGGAAGGTAAATTAGTAAACACATGTTTCTAAAACTGGTGTTTTCACTATTTTGATCTTATATGTAAAGTATAATTATCTTTTTTTAAAGAAAATGAGAGAATATTGAAATTAAATACATTGTTGTTTCCATTCTTAATACTTCTCACTGTATGTCTAATAGTGAATGTTCTGAATAACATGTAACAGCACTGGTTCTATCAACACAATTCTAGGATCATATTCTGAATTGTCTTTTTTAATCTATCTTTTAGGCCTACGGCAGCAGAACTTTTAAAATGCAAATTCTTCCAAAAAGCAAAGGTAAAATATTTAATTCAGCAAGTAAATCCTGTTTTGAGATCAGTATGAATGTTTCTGCTTCTTGAGGCTGGACTTAATTAAAACAATCTTGATCTTTACAGACTAGAGAATACTTGATTGAAAAACTGCTTACAAAAACACCTGATATAGCACAGAGGGCAAAAAAGGTAAGGTTCCTTGTAATTGCCTACAACACTCTTCTTTTTCCCTTTTTTGGAAATTAATGCTTAACAGGGTCATGGATACAGTTATATTATTGCCGATCATTGCTGTGCATAACAACAGTGCTGTTAAAGTGCAGACAATCTGTGGCAGCTAATCTCTTGTGATAGTTCCTCCGGAGCTCTAGGTTCAGCATTTGGACAGCTACCATGACCAAATGCATAGGGACTAAACGTTGCTGAATCTCAACTCCCATTATTCCTTACAATTTACTGTGGGAACGTCTGGTGAATTATAGGTTCCCCATCCCTGCTGTACTTCATTGTAATAATGGTATTAAAGTTTACAAATACAAAGATAAAAGAGGAATACAAACTAAGAGGAATATAAAAAATGAGGAAAAGAAAAAGAAAAGTGCCGAGAGAGAGAGAGAAAAGAAGAAAAGAAATATAAAACTGACTCCCCCTTCCCTCCAGACAAGTATAAACAACTCCCATAACTTAACACCTTATCTAGTATTTCAATAATAAAAAAAAGATCTCTTCTTCCCATAACTCATCTCTTATCAATAAACAAATTATAAAAACTCATCATTCATTTCTATTCAACAAAAGTCCATTAAGAGCTACCAGAAATAATAATATATATATTTTAACCTTAATGAAATAAATCCATTTTGTGCTCCAACTTACGACTTTCTCTAAGAGATAAAGCAAAAGAAATCTCTCCCCGGGTGTCTTTAAAGCATCGTAATTCAGTCCTGGTCATAAAGAAATTCCATTAACAGCTACCAGAAATATCTTTCTGTCTGTCTATCCATCTATCCATCCTTGATCAAATAGGTTCACTTTGTAGTCCTTCTGTTTACTTTTAAAAAGTTTAGTCCTTAATCCCAACAAATAGCGTCCCACAAGTTGATTTCTTCTCTTTGTCTCCTCTTAGGAACAGCTTCAGTAGTTTAACTGGTCCCTTTTGTAAGTCCAAAATGAAAAAGCTATACAAGTCACTCTTCTGATTTATTATTTGTATGTCCCTCTTAGTTATTAAAACATTAGCCCGTTTCATTTGTAAATCCACTGTAGCATCTTTTTCCATGTCACTCTTATAGTCTGTCATTTTGAAATCTGTTTTCAAATCTGCCATTTTGAAATCCGTTTTCAAATCTGCATCTTCTTCCATATCACTCTTGTAGTCTGGTGTTTTTTAAAAATCTGTTTTCAAATCCATATTCAAATCAGCCTCAGTCTTTATTTTATCCTCTAAAGTCTGTTCCTCTTCTGTAACCTCTATAATATCCATCTATAGTGGCAGACAATCTTAAAAGTAATTTCTGAGTACTTTGTTCCCAGACAGCTTTAATATCTTCTATTGTCAAATAATATTGCTCCATGGTATTAATAGGTCTCTTCTCCTTTAATTGTAATCTTTAGTTTCCTCTGGTTCCCTCTAGTCAACCTTCAAAGTCCCCTCTTATATGTTTATTCTCCAGCTAGCAAAACTTTCCCACGGAGGATTTCTTGCAGTTAATTTCAAAATCTTCATATATATTTTTATAAAATGTTAATCAACCCACAGGAAATATTATTTCAAGTCCATCTGGCCCCTTAACTTTCCAAAATCAACATTCTAGATGCTCTTTTGTGGTTTCCCAAAAATTAAAAATTTTCTATTTAATCTTTAAACTTACATAAAACTTTTTTCATCCAAGATAGAAGGAAGCTCTCCCGGTGTGATGAAACTTGCCCTTCAGAAGGTTCTTAAGATCCAAAAGGTCAATAATAAGTAATTTCCTAAAGTAGTTATGACAGGAAGTGGGCGATCCAGTGTCCGTTTGAAGGTGCTGAACTGCAACTTAGGCAAGATGATTTTCACTCAGCTCCCAGAGCTCTCAAACGCAGCAGAGATTGCTATTTTGCGATCTCTTCATGGGCGAGCCTCTGTATGGAGCAAGCTTGTGGGTTATCCTAATCCTCTCCTTGATCCACAGAGGGGTTTCAAGGAGCCAATCCCTTCACTGGCTCCTCTTTCTGCCATGGCTGTTAGCTCCGCTTGTGCAGAGTCATCCTCAATCTGCCATTACTTCCCTGGAAGTCCATCCCTGCTGTACTGACCTAGAAGTGATATGCTAAGTATGGAAGAATTGAGGTCTCATGTGATACTCAGACTTTTTTTGCCTAAGCCAGCAACCTAGGCAAAAGGTTTTATTGTATTGGCGTAGTTACATGTATTGTATGTAGTGGTATGGTTAAAATAATCTATTTATATGTTTGGTGGAGAGAAAAAAAGCAAGGAAGATGAGGATGGATTTTCTAGAAGTTTTTCTTTTTTAATGCCAGCCTATGCCCATTCTCTGAGAGCCAGTTTGGTGTATTGCTTGAGGCATCAGGCTAGAAACTAGGAAACTGAGCTCTAGTCCCACCTAGGCACAAAAGCCAGCTGGGTAACCTTAGGCTTTCTCTCAGCCCTAGGAAGGAGGCCAGGGCAAGCCACTTCTGAAAAACCATGCCAAGAAAACTGCAGGGACTTGTTCAGGCAGTCTCTGAGAATCGGATACGATTGAACAGATTAAAAACAAAATGCCCATTCTCAGGAGTTACATTTGGACCCTGTTCTCTCTGCCAGTAGAAGAGCAGTCATGATGCCTCTTTCTCATCTGGCTTTTCACTGTTAACAATTTTAGCACTGATTATTAATCTGTTTCAAAGTTTCATTATTGTTAACTGCTTTGAATATATTCAGTGGAATAAAAAGTTGGTATACAAATCATGTAATGAAATACATGTAACTGTTCTGCTAGATCCACTTTAAGGTTTAGGTAGCTGAGATTTTCTTCTGGGAGTTTAATTTTTCTTTCTGTATAAAGCTGTTGTGGCAGTTGCAATCAAGGAAAACATCACATTCATGTTAAGAATAATAGTTCAGTGGCTCAGAGATGGTTCTTCTCTTGAATTCTAATCAAAAGAAGGCAAGATTTAATTGAATCTCAGCTTGTAAATAGATCCACAACTAAATAATATTGACATCTCTTTGCTGTGTCTCCTGATAATGTCTTGTTTATCCTTCTCAAACCTGGGTAGTTTTAATCTTGTCAGCTTCAGTCAAAGTGGAAATCATATGGGATAATGGGAACTGTTGTACAACTATCTGAACAACCAGTGAAGACTCGTGTAGTCAAAACAGATATGTGATATAACATTGATGGCAGCTATTCCCTATTTCCTCTTTTATGATGTTGCACTGTGTAAGTATGTGTGTGAGAGAATGTGCCAACTGTTTGAGGTAGGCAAGGTCAAGAAACAGAAACAGCAGGATTCCACAAATTGTCTTTATTGTTACAGGGCAGAACAACGGAGTCTTGGAAGCCTGTCAGAGTTTCCCTCATATACCAAACAAAATCAAGGCAGGGCTATTTTGGATTTCTTTATCATGTTTTCCACTTTTTCAGGACTCAGTAGTCCTCCCTTAACGGTTCATTGCTCCCTTCCTCCTTCTCAAGGGCAAGCCTACATTCTTTCATAGAGAGACTGGAAGAGGGAGATGTTACATTAAATTAGCTCTCCAGATGTATCAAGACTATAATTCCCAGAATTCCCCTCTGGGACACATGGATGGTTAGGACCGTTCTGTTTTAAGTTATTTCTGCTTTGATCCTTTGTGTTTCTTTGGCAAAAAAGATTCAGAAGAAATTTAAGCTAGTCTGGATTTTGATATTTTTGAACCTGATGTTGTGATAGAAAAACACCTCACTCCCCATCCCCCCGCAAAACCTTTGCTTTTGGATCCAGTGAAGTCCTTAACATTTTTAACACTTAAAGAGTTTAAATATCCCTTATGGTCATACGTTGTTAACAAAGGCCATAAATAATACATTTAGCTTGAGATGACCGTCTTCAGTAGGTCTGTGATGTTGAATTTTGAATTTTTTGACAGCTCTTCAAGTAGATCTCTTCACAGCAGTTATCTTTAGAATTTACATAGCAAATTACACTTAGTTTCCTTCTCCTTTTCGTACAGAAAAATCTATTCTAGGAACTCAGTGGCAGTCGCTAGATGGAGTAGATTATTTTTTCAAATAGCCGACAGGTACATTTCTATGTTGCTAACCAAACTACTTTTGGGTTTTGGCAGACAGTTGACCTTCTACAGATAAATAACAACACTGCTTAATCCTCATTTTTTAGTACAATTAGTCCTGTATTTGAAAGCCAAAACACACCAGTACTTTTCCATCTAAATGCTGGCTAGTAGGCCCATTTGCAGAGTTGCAAATGTCACAAGCTGGGCTGTTCCATAACATTCCAAAATTCTGATTTTAATTGGGTTGGTTAAGGTTTTCAATTCTATTCCATATTAGTAAAGCTAAATGATTTTTTTAAAGTTTACATACTAGTTCAAGATACATTTTTAAAAGTATCCTCTAACATAGACATTAAAGTACACAGTGAAAATTAGAAAAAAGGCTCCCTTTTTGCTTTCTGTTAGATGGTATTGTGCTATCCAACATATTCAGAAGAGGTCCTTTATAAAATGCAAAAATCTTTTCCTTCCAAGAGCCCAGCTTCTTTAGGGCTTCATGGAAGTATGCTTTAGTCACACTAGTATGCTTTGCAAAGTGCCACTTTTGAATGCTTTGCACAACTCGAGCATTGTGTATTCAAATTTTTCTCTCATTCAATTGTAAGGTGTTTATCAGTGCCCTGAAGTTTGTAAATAAACACGAAGCCTGATCGAGTTGGTATTATGCACTTGCAAGCCCACAGATTTCTGTTGGGAAGATGTATAAGCATGTGCTTTATTCTTTCATTGAGGAAAAGGCCTAAGTACTTTCTGAATATTTCAGATGAACTTGGCAAAACAAACTTCTACTTGTGTACCTTTTTACATATTTTCTTTTCCTGGTTTGCTTCAAGACTGGCTTAACGTGACATAGTATGTGTTTGCTACCTTTGAAGGTCACAGCTGACAGTTATTATGTACTGTGCATTTGCTCTATCAACTTCTATTT